GAAATGTTTCTTCACATTTCTACCTGTTTATGATTACAGCTGGTCTAAATATGAAGGGACATATTGGCAGTGGCGGTCCTGGATACATTTGACTGGGGGGGCCATGCTGGGGCCGGTTATTTTTTGAGAGGGGCACATTTAATGTGGGACAAAAGAGACAAAGACAGTGTTCAACATTTTAAGATGACTAGTTTTGTATAGAGTCATCCGCACAAAAAAAACAACATAAAATTGATAATGCCGCTATCCAACTAAAATGTTATCATCATTATAAACCCTGCTTTTATGGGGGGCACAAGGGGCTCAACGCTTATTGTACAGTGTTTCTCATTAAATGAATAACTTCTGTGCAAAATTGACATAAAACTTAAAAGTCAAATGATAGAAAAAAAAGTAAAAAATGTCCAGCTATAAACTGACTTTGGTTACATGATCTCCAGTGGTGATAATGTAGATTTTCATATAAAAACAAAACCACAATCTCGAGATGTCTTGTGTAATTGTGTATCATGATATCTCAATATATGATATCACTAAAACATTCCATAGAACCATAATTTAGGATTAAGAATCATCCCAGAGCTCCTCTTTTAAATAACAATTTATAATGGATTTGTATCATGTAGCTTGGCTTTAGAATTTGTGTTCTGGGATTACTTTTATTTGTTTAGTGTGGAGAAAAAAACGTCCCAACAAATCCAGTCCTTAGAACTCCCCCCCCCCCAGAATACCTGATCCACCCTGATCCTACCAACACAATATAATATGTCCTGGCATTTTAGCAAAATCCTGCATGACCCAATGAGATTCTTGGATACAATTCTAACCCTAAATTCAGATGATGTTTCTCTTTAAAAATGACAAAGAACAGTTAGAAAGACACTTACTGGGACTTGCAGGTGTTTTAGCGTGGTTTTTAAGTGTACTCTCTGTTTGAACCTGTTTACCTGTACCAGTGGTGCAATCAAGTCTAAATAAACTTCTCAGAACAGGCTTGGCATGAACACACCCTGAGAGAAATCAATCTGAAGGCCAGTCTGCATTCTTTCACAATACATGTAATCACTCTTTTGTTGATCACTAACTGGCTTTGTGCTTCCAGCCGAGACACATGGAGCCCTTTAACCACCACATGGATGGAGGATGGTAGAATAGCCTGTAAATCCAAGTTCAGGTTCCTGCTTAACCCACAGAAGTAGAAGTCTGATCAATATCAATCAATTAATAAAATATATTTATACAGCCCAATATCACAAATTACGCATTTCTCTGAGGGGGCTTAACAGTTTGTACAGCAAACACCGCCTGTCCTTAGACCCCCGCAGCGTAAACGGGAGAAATCCCAAGAAACCCTACAGTACTGTTTCCTTCCTGTTTGTGTAGAGTTGAACCTAATCCTTAGCAGGCAACAGACGTCAGAAACTGAAACCATGTCTTTATTTATAGCTAAATGATATAAGTCTTTATATTTCATTATACTTCTATATAAATATAAAGAACCAAAACCAAACCCAACCTTATCCCAAAGCTTCATGCAGCGGCCAGCCCGCTGCTCTGAACTCCTGGCTGGTGCTTTGCAGAGCTCTGCAAACGGTTCATCAGTTTGGGCTGGAAAAGAAAACTACCAAACCATTGCTATTATTTGCTTATAGTTTTAGTGACATCTCGTGTTTATGCCAACATTTGATGGGATTCCTATTTTATTCCTGAAAACTAATTTCATGATAAGATCAAAACCTACACTTAAATATTTCTGCTGGCATTCAGATCAATGTTTTAGACCACTGTGGAACATAATATGTGACAAAGATTTGTGCTTACATTTGAACCAGTAATGAACCAGTAAGTGATGGTTAGTGAGCAATTACACACTATATGATTATGTTGCAGTCAGACTCATTCCCTCTGACTCCTTCTGTCGTTAAACCATGTGTCACAACTCCCTGGTTCTGCCCTGAAAGGCGTGTGCCTCTGGCTGTGGTTCTTTGTGTGTCCATTGTCAGGAATGATGAAATGTTTGTTTACACATGTGCAGTTAGTGTAGAGGGGAGAACATAGAGCACGTTGTTGAAGATATAAGACTTTTTTTCCAATTTTTACTTAAAAATCTAAATTCTTGTTCAACCTCCACATCATCATCAATTGTGCATATCATACAAAACTATTTATTGATTCTCAATTCTTTTGAACACATTTCCAAACTATTTTTGCAATTGATTATGTACACTTGTCTGATGTTTCCTACATTATCAATGGCTTATGTCATGTTGAATTAAGTGTTATCATTACTTCACAATAAGGAAATGAACAGGGTAGACAATTGCTACATTTGTACACGTGTTGGTAACCTGAAAAACCTGCTAAATGGAATTCAGCCATCATTTATTTTATTAATTTACAAATGTTGCTTTTCTTACTGTCACATGGAGAAAATACTTTAGTAACATACCTTATCTTATTCATTCTTTAAATGTGATGCTCTGCTGATGAAATAACGGTCCGGCTGACATACAGCTCTTCTCTCCGGGATAAATGCTGGCTGACCTCACTTGTGCTAAGCCCACACACACACACACACACACACACACACACACACACACACACACACACACACACACCACACACACACACACACACACACACACACACACACACACACACACACACACACACACACACACACACACACACACACACACACACACCACACACACCACACACACACAGCTGGCTGCTGGTTTATTCTTTAGACAAACTGATGGTAATGTTTGTAACTGCTGTGAGAATCATCTCAGAAACATTCAACACTGACACAATCCATTCTTTTTATTAATGGTTAGGCTAAATCGTTTTTAACAAAGTATTTCATTTTCTCTAATACCAGGTGTTCTGTTCCTTCAGTTGTGCTTTGTAAATGGTGAAGTGTTTGGAACATTCTGTTGTGATACTGACTTAAAGATAGGGTTGGATACCGAATTACATTTAGATTCCAACGGCATCATTTCGGAATGTGAATTTCGGTTCCGCTTTTCGATGCCTGAGGAAATGTTTCTCGCCGCTCTCCGTAGCCTACTGTATGACTGCGGCGGGGCGGGAAATGTAGCGTTGTACCTACACTTCCTACAGCGTAACCTGAGACCAGGGCCGGCCCGTCGCACTGGCAATGATGTTCGCCTAGTGCGCCAGATCTGTGGAGGCGCTGCGCTGACAGCTCTGGGAGCTGTCACAAATAAAAAACAAAATATTAATATTAAGAGTAGCCTACATACAAAATAGGGGTCAATGATAGAAATATAGAAAATAAAATATCAAGCAGATACTGTAGTGACCTCTACAATAAAACAGTTTAGTGCAGGACATCCAAAGATATTAAAGGTCACATGTCATGGCCATTTCCACTGATCATAATTCCATTGTTGAGGTATACTAGAATAGATTTATACTGTGCAATTTTCCAAACTCACATTGTTTCGCATACAGCATCTCTGTAAACTACGTGTATTCACTCTCTCCACTAAACGGCTCGTTGCAGCTCTTGCCCCCCCCCTCCCTGTGAGCCCAGTGTGCTCCGATTGGTCGGGACCAGTCGGGACGTTGTGAATCGCGCTAAGCTCCGTGGAGGTGTGATTTCCTTGTTTAGCGATACACAGCGAAACGCAGCCAAACTCACCCTGAGCACACACAAAGTCACAGCCGAAGTAAAAACAATAAGTGTGGCTTGATATTGAGTAAGAAAAAGGTTGATAAACGCTGTGAGAATGGGTCTGCAGAGAGAATTTCGCCGCGATCCCAACTGTCTGTTATCAGCCAGGGAGGAGAGATCAGCAGAGCTGCATGCACTGTGTGTGTGAGGAAGTCCGTGGATTGGTCAATTTGGACCAATCAGCGGGGGCTTAACGTAACGGCTCCGCGGACGTAACGGAACGGCTCCACGGATTGGTCCATTTCGTTCCGGGTACGACATGACATCAGATGTCCCCGGAAGAATCAAATGGATGATGACGTTTCACCAACGAGGCGTTTTGGGGAGGTATTTTCTGTATTAGAGTTTACTCGCTACATGGTGTACTTTGAGGGTTTTGACTCTGCACACCGTTAACATGCATAAAAACCTTCATAACACACAAGGGGACGGGTAATAACCGGAAAAGCATGACATGTGACCTTTAACAGGAGGATGTGCAAAACAGACAAACTGATAAGGCTGAATTTGACTCAGGTGTAACTAAAGTCTGATTTAAGGGTTGTTTATATTTTACATCATTAATCAGAATCTGCAAAGTAACAAAAATAAATGTAGTAGAGTAAAAATACCAGGTTAACCTCTGAATTGTAGTGGAGTAGAACAAAGTAGTACATGCTGCTGTAACAAAAACATTTCCCAACTTGGGCTCAATAAAGTATCTTATCTTATCTTAAGATGATCGATGGCTACTGCCATATTTGCTAATGTGCATCTGAACCTATACAAGTGCATGTTTCAGGCTTATCAATTAACAACAGGAGGGGTCACAGACATAAGACCAGCTGTTAAATAAACCTCTTCTGACCTTAGCTGTCATGTGGGTATATTAAATGCTGCCCATTATGGACACAAGCCATTTTCACCCATGTATTAATTATATATTTTAAATTTGATAACACCAATGTGTTTCGTATCCCCTACATCTCCAGGGATGTATACAGTTTAATACTGGCAACTTCTAATTGTGGGAAATATGAAAACGTGTTTTAAAACTACAATTCCCAGTCGTGCCATAGAACATGTTGTGAAACACACAATAGCCAGCATGTGTAATAGACCTATCGCTAAGCCACGCCCCCTTTGAAAACTCGGACAAACAAAGCCGACCGTGAATGACTGTTGACAATGGCCGCGGGGGGAGTTCAAGTCAATGTTAGCAGTGGTGGTCACTACATTAAATCTATAACTATAACTGTCCTTGTTGGTCATCATTTTCACTGTTATGCACCTGGCTGACTGTTACGTTACCTTTTTCTGGTTGAGGGTCTGTGTCTTTTCGGAGCAGCACACACGAGAGCCCGGATGGGATCTGGATATTCCAGAGTTGGCTTCCCATCTCTGAAGTGCTTTGAGGTGAAAAGACAGTTAGCTAAAAACACCAGCTAACTAGCGAGGACGAAAAGTCAGACAGCAAACGTTGATGTTGATAACACTGTAGCTAGTTAGCTGGCTAACAAGTTGGCAGCTAACGTTAGTTAGCTGGGCTGGATATACGCTAGCTAGTTGGCAGTCAAAGTCAATCGTTAGCAAACTAATAGTTTGGTCTACGTTTCTAATACATGCCGTCAAATATTATGTCTTTATGAATTGACCTTACCTTTGAGCAATAATAAGTGTCCTTGGTAATTGTCTTCACATTCAGTTGTGTATGTGCTATGTGGTCGACGACACAGCATAATCCACCGCTTGCATTTGTTGAGTTTTCTTTTGGGCTTCGGAAAAGGTACGAAATATACTCCTCCATCCAGTCTTTTAGGGTACCTGGTGTCCGAATTACAGGTACCCCACGCACAGCGTTTCACCATCAGATATTAGCTAGATAATAAACATAGAAACTGAACTCTTCACAGTGGTTTTCGATCACAGACGTCTGGTTTTGGTTTGATGCGCCCCACAAACGGCTTTTCTGGTGATGTCCGAGTTTACTGCCAGGAGGGATTTTTGCTGTGATATGATTGGACAAATTCTATTTGGGGCGTGGTTTAGCGATAGGTCTATTCTGGGGGGGAGGGCTGGGCTGGACCCGTCCAAGTCCAGTTTTGGAAAGTCTGCCTTGGTTCCATTCCATTTCAAAGAGCTGTTTGACACTCGGCGTAACCTTGTCGCACTGCCACTCCAACATCCAATCACAGAGCTTGAGGGCTAATCACGGGGTTTGTAAAGCAAGGAAGATGTTGTAGTCCCAAACGATAGCTGGGGATTCTGGGTAGTGTAGTGTCTTCGGAAACTCTGTAGTGTCTAAACTCCGAAAAAACAATTTGTTTCTCCGAATCGAAGGTTAAAAACTAGGGCTGTCAAGTTAACGCGTTAATAACGCGTTAACGCAAAAAATTAACGCCACTAATTATTTTAACGCGATTAACGCATGTGTATTTTTTTTCCTCTGCCGCCCCGTAGTTTCAGAGCGCATCGAGTTTAAAATACCATCTACAAGCTGATGCTGACAGCCCCGCTCCTGCCGCCCGCTTGTGGCATTGATTGATTGATTGAAAAGTTTATTAACAGCTTGTATATTGGGTACTGTACAGCTCAAAACATACAATTGTTAAGGGGATGCAGACCAGAGAAATACTTTTGTCTTGTTTACATCAGGGTCCCCCATTTCCAATTCATCATATCATTTAAGACATATAAGACATATTTGACATACAGATGGCTTATTTACAATTTACATACAGGTGGTTTTTTACATACAGATTGCTTATTTACAATTTTAATTTTAGATTTCGTTCTAATACATCCTAACCGGACATTTAAGACATAGCCTACCAAGTCTACAGATATACAGTTAGTAACAGAGTCTAAAATGCGAGTATATAGATGGGGGGGGAAGCTGTCCATTGTACGACAGGTTGAGATTTGTACCATTACCTGGGCCAGTTTTGCAATGCTCTCCCCCGAAGGTGCTCTTTAAGAGAGGTTTTGAAGTTAAATATAGTTTTACTTTCCTTTACAGTTGTGGGAAGAGCGTTCCACCTTGATGTGGCATAATTGCGAAACGTGTATTCTCCCTTTTTTGTGCCAAATCTGGGTTTCACATGATTTGTGGAGCTCCCTCTGGTGTTATGATCATGGTATTCCTTGACCTTTGGGAAGAATTTTGACATGTACATGGGTACCATAGAGGTGTAGTGGATCTTGTAGACCAGGCCCATTGCAAGCAGACCACACTTCCACGCTCACCGGCAGGCACCGACTGGCTATTGGGAGCGAGCGAGAGAGAGACCTTACGCGCATTGTTGTTGTTAGCATCTGGTGCTAGCTAGCTGCGCTAACGGATATAAGGAGCTGTTTAAATGAAAACAGAGAAGCGACATTTCGCCACAACTGCGCCGAGCACTTGACTTTATGCAGGAAGCTAGACAGTGGGACATTGTACGAGAAGTCAGCACACTCAGCACGGATACTGCGCAACATGATTGCAGCGTCCAGACAGCCCCCGTTCGAGCATATGCCTTGAGTTGCACATAGCTCCAACGATCACACACACACACACACACACACACACACACACACACACACACACACACACACACACACACACACACACACACACACACACACACACACACACACACACACACACACACACACACACACACACACACACACACACACACACACACACACACACACACACACACACACACACACACACACACACACACACACACACTCACACACAAGTTGTATTGTATTATTGTATGAGAGAGGTTCCAGGTTGAATTGAGGCGAATATTTGTAATGTTCAGAGGTTGTTGTGTTTAATATTCATGAGAATATTTGTCATTGTTCAAATGATAGTAAACATTAGCATAAAGCATATTTGTCCACTCATATGTTGATAAGAGTATTCAAAACTTGAAAAATATTCCTCTAAGGTACATTTAGAACAGATCAAAAATGTGCGATTAATTTGCGATTAATCGCGATTAACTATGGACAATCATGCGATTAATCGCGATTAAATATTTTAATCGACTGACAGCCCTATTAAAAACACAAAAGCATTGTACACAATTTAAACCAATCAATATTGTGTAATTAACAAGGATAAACTGATGTTTTTTAGTGGATGAGTAATGGAGATATCACTGTGTAATCATTTGACAGTGTGGGGAATACTTCCGGTTTTATTATGAAAACTTCGAGACCGGAAAAACTGTTTTTACCTACGCTAACTTTACATGGAAGCTGCCCCATATATACGTTCTCCTGGCGAGACCTCAAATCATCTTCGTATATCTATCAAACTGTAGATCCTACACATCCACTGGACGTAGATTATAAAAGTACAATATACACTTCTCGCTAGAAATCTAATAAAAAAGCATTTTAATGGCCAAACTATTCTACAATTTAGGATTTTCCAGAGAGGGTTATTTGTGAATAAACGACCCTCCGGAGCGTTTGCAATCGACAGGAGCATGTTGTTTCTTACACGACCACTAGAGGTGCTACACTTTAAAACGTGACTCTGGGTCGTATTTAGCTGCTGAACAATCGACCTATATGGTCGTTTTTTGTAGGAGGACAGGCTGGTCTTAAACCCATACATCTTGATTCTGGCTGATGTATGTTTCACCTTTGATTATGTGACCTGTCGGCTGCTTAAAGTGTTCACAAGTTGGTTCAGTGGAGTGAGTTTGACTTTTGTAATTTTCTTGAGAAATGTTACAAATCATACTCCATTCGTGATGCGCATCACAGAGTTCGTTGTATGAACAGGAACAGCAACAAAAACAGATGCCCCAAATGTGTCACCATCATAAATACCTAACAATATTCCCTTTACCAATAGATCAAATGAAATCTATTCTCACCCCCATGCAGTGCAAAAGGACAATCTAAAAGGACTCACTGATCCAGTGAATACTAAAGCTCCTCAGAATGTGTCACTGTAAATATGGAAGCCTATCTCAGCTGCAATATGAACTAGGGCTGTACCCGAATATCTGAATATTCGGTCATTGGCCTACTATTCGGTTTTCAATTTCGTTATTCGGATATTCGTTGTTGTTCTTTTTTTTTGGCAGCCTGACACAAACTGATGAACCCAAATGCACGACCCAGAGACAAAGTCTTGAATATATAAGAAAAGGTATATTTATTATCACAGTTCAGGTAATCCCTCTTAACAGAGTAGGTGGTGGAAATATCATTATCATATATCCATATAATTGTTTTCAGTTAAACCAAAGGCACAATGACCAAGAAAACAAAAACAAAATAGCAGCTAGGTATACCCGTTTTTGGTTAGGTTGAGTCTGCTAATAAAATAAAAGAGTCTTGATTTGCTTTGATTTGGACCTAATATACAATACAATACAGCTTTATTTATAGAGCACTTTAAACCTCCAGACCAAAGTGCTGTACAGGCAAATAAACAAAACAAAAAATACAAAAAATAGCACAGCACAGCTCACACACCATAAAACAAGTACAAGTAAAAACAATAGACAATTTAAAAGCAATAAAAGCAACACTCTAAAATATGTTAATACGCTAAGGTGAAGAGGTGGGTTTTAAGAAGCGATTTAAAAGCAGACAGTGTGGAGGCCTGTCTGATATGCATGGGCAGATCGTTCCACAGTGTGGGAACCGCTACAGAGAAGCAACGGTCCCCTCTCCGCTTTGACTTGGTTCTGGGCACATTCAGGAGCAGTTGCTCCGCTGACCTGAGAGGGCTGTGTGGATAAGCTGTGTGGTTTAATGGTAGGGCTTTCTACAAAAAGTGTTAGTCTGCCTAGAAGGGTACTTGCTGACTTTAATTTGGAACTGATTTCGGACATTATGAGGCATTTTGTTGTGGCATCACCAGCACTGTTTTAGCTTAACAAGGTCAACACATTTTTATACATTTAGTTTTTTAAGTAGCGGAGTTGCATGTTCACATTTCCCTACCCCACATATTGTTCTTATTACTTTTTTTTGGGATACAATTATTTTTTGTATATTTGTTATGTTCGTGTTTCCCCATATTTGGGAGCAATAGTTATGGTAAGAGCAGAGAATGGTGGTATCTTCAAATAAATTAATGTCAGCATGTTTGATGTGTTGGTAATATAATTCATGTAAATCAGAAATAGTTTTGGTTCTAAAATTGAACCTTGTGAGACTCCACATATTATTGGAAGTTTGTTTGATTCTCCCATCTCTACATATTGCTGTCCTCAGTTAACTCTTGACCCACTCATTAGCTCGACCCCTAATGCCATAATGTTCTAGTTTTTTTTAGAAAGATATCATGATTTACTGTATCCAAAGCTTTTTGAGGTCAATGAATATTCCAGTACATTCTTTCTCAATGTTATTTGTGATTTCTTCAACCAATGTAATCACTGCAGATGAGATGGAGTGTTTTTTCTGTAATCCATATTGGCTGGGGCATAATATTGGGCTATGTCATTATAGGATTTATTGACATCTTGAAGCTCGAATTCAAATTTCCCAAATTTCCCAAATTGGGATCAATAAAGTTCTATCTTATATTATCTTATCTAACAGCCTGCCACATTTCATTTTTTAGGTTCATGTTTAATTTGCTCAGAGATCTTTCATTTATTTTCCGTTTAAAAAAGTATGTATTTTGTATTTATTAAGAACAGGTTATTTTCCACTTTCCAAAAACGGGCAATTGATCCCTGACATCTGTTCTGAAAGCACCACTGTGGTGTTCCATTTCTAAAACATTAGTGAAGATGTTGTCAATTAACGTTTCAGTTAATCAGTTATCCTAGTTGGATTGGTTGTAAGTGAGAAGACCAAGGGTGATCAATGTTAAAGTCTCCACACAAATAGAGAATTTTATTCCAATAAGGTCCAAGCATTTCTTCCACTAGGTCAGTG